AAAAGTATCCCCACCAGCCCGTCCAGAAACGACGCCCAGGCGAGTAGAGGGTCGTCCTGAGGGGCTTTTCGGCGTCTTGGGTGCTTCGAGGGGGCCTCTGTGGGCCGTTCGGGATCCTCTTTGGGGCATCCTGGGGGCCTCTTGGGGCCTCTTGGGGCCAGTTTGGGGCCTTTGGGGGCCTTCTGGGCGCTTTTTGGGGCCTCCTGGGCGCTTCTTGGGTGCCTCTGGGGGGTCTCTTGGGGCCCCTTGGGGGTCTCTTGGGGGCCTCCTGGGGGCCTCTTGGGGGGCCTCGGAGCCATCTTGGAGGAGATCGATCAACGAAGGGGGGCGTTCCCTAATTACAGTCCCCCCCTCAGGATCCTCGTGAGGGGTGTCGAATTTTAGCCCTCCCAGGGGTCGATCTTGGGCGCTCCAACGCGCCGCGGAACCCCCTGTCCAGGTCAGTGGGGAGGGGGTAGGGGGAGGGGTACACCCCTCCCCGAAGGGGAATAGGAGGGGTGGAAGAGGAAACGCTGTAAACCACCGACGCCCAGAGGGCTGGTGGGATTTCAACGAATTATTATGGGGACGCTGTTGTTTTTAGTATGTTCGATTATTCTGGGAGTAGTTTAGAAATCTTCCTGTTCGTCCAGAATCCGCCAGTAGGAGGGCATGCGCGACCTGACACAAGGGAGCTGCTGCACGTGGACTCGAAGTGTGTCTCGGCGCAGCATGTCAGGACTGGTGGTGAATCGTGGTTGCGCATGCTCCGTATGTCTGGCGTTTGCGCATCTTCGTTGGCATGCAGTGTGTGCACGCTGGTTACATGGGTGATGCACTCGCGCCCCTCAGTGTACAAGTTGTACGTTATGTGTGCGATGTTGTGTTCTTGATGTGCGCTGTTGGTGAACTGTGTTTATTGACATTGTTTGTTTGAGCTCCTGTGTAAGGTATAAAAGTGTGTTCCTCATGTGTGTTGTTGGTCGAATGATCGTGCTGCCTGGTATCAGAGAGCGTGCGTTATTGGTTTATGTAGCTGGTTCATGTGGGTGGCGGTATGCTGTTGATGTGTGCTACCATATCCACGTATAGGTGCCTGTACAAGCATGTTTGTGATGTGCTATGTCTGCCTGAGCTTCGTGTACTGTCCCATATCCGAGGCATACAATGTGTATGGTATATGCCGGTGCTGTCTAATACTGAATAAACTAGGTTGGTTGCCGACCTGGCATTTGCTGTTATAAGCTTGGTTACAACATACTGTGTATGCGTTCTGGATTCCTGTGTCTGATGAGCGGTGTTGCTGCTCTGGCATCGTGCATGGGCTTACTGCGCGTGATTGATGTATCGGTTATACTGGTGCTCGGTATTTATGTCGAGCACCGATGCATGCTGGTGATGTGCAGTATTGATGTCTGGTACCGTTGGCTGATGTTGGTGCTTGTCATTCATGTATGTTGCTCATGCACGGTATGTGTACGATCCTGATTGTTCCTACTGGAGTTCTGCCTGATCGTCTGCGTGCTCTGTTTGTGGGTTGATGGTGTATTTAGTTGGTGCATGTTCTCGGTGTATGTTCTAGATTCTTGCCTCTAATACCTGTTCTGACACAGTGTTGTGCATGTGAGTGGTCGTCGCTTGTTTTAGGTGCAAGTTCTTGGAGCCTCTTGTTGGTGTATGTCCTGGACGTGCACTTCGTGTCTTCGATCTATGTCATTGAAGTCCATTGCAGACGCCAGCGCGCGGCGCTGCGACGTGACGCCTGGACGACGTGACGCCGCGACACCTCCCTGGTTGGGTTCGCGAGGCGGGATCCCCATGGATCAGCCGGGACTCTTGAGGCCCGGCGGCCACGATGTGTCGTCCGGGCGAGCCCTGGCGCGACGCCGTGGCGCTCCTGTGGTCTGGTCCGGCGAGGCGGTCTCCCCAGGGATGGCCCCGACCCCCAGCGTCGGGGCCTGGCCGTCGCGTCATGACGGGTGCGCGGGGCGGGGCGGGTGCGCGAGGCGGGTCGGTAGTTTTTGTTCCGTTCATCTCATAGTAGTTTCGGTCTGGCGTCAGCGAGGCGGCCGGATGAAGGATCCTGTGTGTGTGCATTTGTTTAGCCATTGGGCCTCCAGTGTGCTTCTCGCCGACGCGGCGAAATGTCATTCAGCAATCTTGTAATAACGCATTCCAGGGCACTGCTCCTCTCCTTTCTGTCAACGCCATCTTCTCCTATCATTGTCTCGCATTTGTTAGTGGATCTCTTCAGGAGGAACCTCCTTCCCGCCGCCACGGTGAAGCATTATCATCCTGGATGGGCCTGAGGGAAGGATCTGAGGTCAGACTTTGAAAGATGGGGGTACCTGAATTAGTTGTTGAGGCGATGCTTGCGTGTAGTTTCTGGTCGGTAGTTGTAGATCTGACCGTTCCCGAAGCATCGATCGAATGTTGCAAGGAGTCTCAAACCTGATAAGTGGGGTCACGGTGCTTCATGTCAGAGTCTGATTCCGGTGTTGCAATTGTGGTTGCGTGTGTGTGTGTGTGTGTGTGCGTGTGTGCATTTGTTGGCGTGCGCGCGCGTGTGTGTCTGTGTTGTGTGCGGACGCGTGTGCAGATTCATTATTCGGAATAAGTTCGTTTGCAAGCTACATTAGCGTATTCCGCTTGCGTGTCACGCGCTCGTTATTCCATAGCGTTGCATGAGGAAAATTAGTTTGTGTGCATTTGAACCAGCGGCGGCTGCGCCCGCGCAATCGGGTTCAATGGCTTCGAGCGTGCCCCGTCCGAGTTGAACTTGTCCTGGTGATTGCCACCCATCTGATGGCCGGTGAACGCGTTTTCGTGTGTGTCTTGGCATATGGCGCCGCTTCCCTCTGAGCCCGGCGCGTGCCGGGCCCCGGCCGCCGCACTTGATGTTTGTTCGCCTCGTCGCTTCGCTTCATTCGAGGCCGCGGCCCCCAAAAACATGTGTGTGTGTGCGTGTCTATGCCAGCAGGTGTCTGCGCGTCGTTTCGTTTGCGGTTGCGGGTGGGAGGTGTGCGCGCGCGGGTGCTCGAGTTGGCGTGCGCGTGAGTGTGTGTGTGTGTGTCGTGCGTGTCCGTGTGTGGGTGCGTGTGTGTGTGTGTGTGTGCGTGTCCGTGTGTGTGTGTCTGTGTGTGTGCGCCGGGAATCTCTTATGCACGTGTTTGAGCATGTGTGTGAGCATCTGTGTGTGTGCTCGTCGCTTCCATGTGTGTATGTGTGTATGGGTGTCGTTTCGTGTCCGTGTGTGCGCGTATGTTAACGTGTGCCTCCAGTCGGCTGGTGTTTTTTCTTTCAGTATCGTCCATACACCCCTTGCTGGCCTGAGTCGGCCTGCGGTTGATTCGAGTGTCGCTCGAGCGCCCAGTCCCAAAGTGCACATTCTCGCCCTCAGTGCAATTGTTGACGCTTCGCGTATTACCTCCAGCCCTGGCCGACGGTCCTTTGGACCACCCTGGTTCTCGCACTTCGCCGACGTCCGGGGCCTCGCTTTTGCATTTCTCATTCCGACCTCGACTGACGGTCACCACGGCCACCCTGGTGCCCACGCAGTCGTTTCAGGTACGGTATCGTGCTTTCTCTCTCTCGGAGCTGGCCCTGGCCGTCGTTGATTTTCCGACTTCTGGCGCCTCCGACGGAGTTGCAGCTTTGCACGCTGGCAGTTCCCCTCAGTTTCAGTCCCTTCGGCCATTCACCTGCCGTTGGGCCGCTGCGTGAGGCCTCGGCCCGGGCCGGCGAGTAGCTGTTTCCTCGCGCGTCGCCTCTGCTTCAATTTTCTCGCGTTTCCTCTGCCCACTTAGTCTCTGCGCAGCCTGCTTTGACCTGACTCGCCGCCGGCGCGCTCGCCCGCTGCCGCTGACCAGAATAGTATTACCCCCAGCCCATCCAGAAACGATGCCCAGGAGAGCTGACCGGAGAAGGGAGGAAGAGACGCACATAGTGAAACAGCGTGGGCAACAACGGTGAGTTGGGAGATTTCTGGTAGCGACTGGTACGGGTGCTGGTGTTGGTGCTGTTGCTGTCGCTGGTACTGCGGGTGGTGGTGTCTCTTGGAAGCCAATCGGAGAGCCCGCGACGGGCCGGCGGGGAGGTCGCCCCAGCGGCGACGGCGGGCTGCGCGCGTCGCCTCTCCAATCTCGTCTGCGGCCCCTCCAACGGCGCGGGCCCCCAGGGCAACCTTGAGCGGGCCATCGAGCGGAGCGGCGTCGGGGCCGAGGCCGGGGCAGCGCGGACTCCATGGGCGGCGGCGGCCCCGTCAGGGGCGCGACCGGCGGCCGGCCGCTTGCGGGCGCGCTCGCCGACAAAGAGACGCACATGGGCGTGATAGGGTTCATCGGGGTCGGCGCCAACCGCGCTGGCGCGCGGGGGCTCGGCACCACCCTTCCAGGAACCCGCGGGGGTAGCGATCGCCCGCGGCGAGTGGCGGGTCCACATCAAGCCGCGCAGGCTTGCTTCGATCGGGGCCTGTCCCGAGGCTTGTCGCCGTCATGGACGTCGGCGGGCTCACATATGGACGCGTCGCGGCGGGTGGCGCCGCGCATGGGGCGAGGAAACCATGCGCGCGATCGACCTCACTTGGGGGCCCGCGCGAATCCCGAATTAGGCGACTGCGGAACCTTGGGCCCAGAGTGCTGCATCGACGGTGGTGCCATCGCCAGATATTTTATCCCCTGCGTGGTCCTCCCCTTCCTATTCTATGTTCTTTCCCGTGCATCACTATCTGCGTGCGCTGTCTCCGTGTTTCGCGCGCGCGTCAGGGCGGGCTGCGCAGATGCGCGTGGTGGCAGACTTCGCGCGTGACCATTGCATCGCCGCGATCGAATCATCCGGGCCCTTTGCTCTGGGCGGGCGGCTTGCAGCGGCCGCGCTCGGACGCCGTCGCGCCGAGCTTCAGTCTGGCGTCGCGGCGGCAGCGCCGGTGGCAGCAGCAGCGCATGTGTGTGTATCCTTTTGTATTTTCACCACCGCTTCCCACCTCGTTGGATGCAGGTCTCGCGCGGGGCATTCAGTTTCAAGCTGATTTGCCGCGGGCAGGTGTCGCGCGCGAGTTCTCCGTCTCACATTGCGGCGACACCATTGGGCGGGCAATTTTGGCGCGTAGTTGTAAGTAGTTCTGTGCGGGGTGCGCCTTTACATTCTGTCCGCGCGCGGTTGTCTTACCACTGCGCGCCCAAAGACTTCTGGCGGCCAAACAACAGGCGGCGCTTTTCTTGATTTCTTCGACGCTCGCTCCTGGGCTGTCGGCATTCCGCGCGCCGCGAGTCATTCCAGAGCGAGCTCTATCATCTTCGCGGGGCGCCTGCCGCGCCGAGGCCGAGGCCGCCGCGAAGGCCTGACGGATGCCTCAAGGATCTCCCCTTGCGGGTCCTGATTCGGCTCTCGACTCGAGCTCCCAGGTCTTCTTGCTTGGTGCGTTACCCCCCTGCAACGTTCGATGCGGTCTGCGCGCGTGTGCGCGCGCGTGTTTTCTCCGTGCACGTTGTAGTTTCTGCGTCTCTCGCTTCGGCGCCGCCTGGGATGGGGGCACGCCGGCGCCTGCGCCGGCCCCGTCGCTTGCGCCGGCCAGCTGCCGCTTCTCCTCTGCCCTGCGTCTGTCCTTATCAGTGCGATTACATTTGTCTTCGGCCGTTTTCCTCGCCGAGCTGCCAGCTCCCCAGGGGGGCGGGGCTGCGGCCGCGCCGGAGGAGAGTTCGAACCCGTTCTAGCTCAATCTCCCTTTGCAGGATTGATGTTGCTCCTTCTTGCGCGGGAGTGTTTGCTGGAGTATGACTCTCATCGAGTGCTCGAGTACGTGCGCATTCATGATGATCGCTGGCCTAAGCTATATGCACTTCGGGGTGCGCGCGTGCGTGCGCGTGGTTGTCTTGACGCTCTTTTACAACGCGGTCGAGTGATTCGCTTTGAGCGGAACCCGCCTCTATTGCTCGTGACCCGCAGATTGCCATCGCCTGCTGGCCAGAGGAAAACTGTTGCGCGTATTTGCGCGTGCGTGCGTGTGTTGGCGCGTGCGCGTGAGCTCTTGCATGTGCGTTTCCCGCATGTGCCCGCTCAGGGCAGTGCGCGCGTCTCGCCCTGCGTAGCCCACCCATCTGCAGCGTCGGGCGAGGGCGTGCCCCGCCTTCCAGCACTGGGGGCGTCGGTGGCCGCCCCCAGTGCAGGTGCTGCAACCCAGCGCGACGTTGCCCTTTCTAGTTGTCGACCCAACTGTGGCGTTGCATCGCCGGCGGAGGAACAGCGTGCGCGTGTGCGCCCGCGTGGATGTAGTTCCTCGTTGTCGTGTGCGCGTTTATGCGGCTGTCTTCGCGCGTGCGTGTGCGTTGATCTTGTGCGTGCAAGCGTGTGTGCGTGCGTGCGTGCGTGCGTGCGTGCGTGTGTGCGTGTGTGTTTGTGTGTGTGTGTTTGTGTTTGTGTGCGTGCGTGCGTGCGTGCGTGCGTGTGTGCGTGCGTGCGTGCGTGCGTGCGTGTGCTGTGTGTGCGTGCGTGCGTGTGTGCGCGTGTGTGCGTAGTGTCTTGTGTGTGCGTGTGTTCGCGTGTGTGCGCGTGCTGTGGCTTAGTGTGTGCGTTTGTTTGTTTGTTTGCGTGGTTGCGTGCGTGCGTGCGTGCGTGTTTGAGTGCGTGCGTGTGTGCGCGTGCGTGCGTGCGCGCGTGCTTGAGTCCGTGCTTGAGTGCGTGGGTGCGTGCGTGCGTGCGGGCGGGCGGGCGTGCTTGTGTGCGTGCGTGCGTGTGTGCATGCGTGTGTGTGTGTGTGTTTGTGTGTGTGCGTGTGCGTGTGTGTGCGTGTGTGTGCATGCGCGCTTGTGTGTGTGTCTCTATGCGTGTGTTTGTGTGTGTGTGTGCGTGCGTGCGTGCGTGCGTGCGTGCGTGCGTGCGTGCGTGCGTGCGTGCGTGCGTACGTGAGTGTGTATTTGGGTGTACGTATGTGCGTGCGTGTGCGCATGTGCGCGTGTGCTCGCATGGGCATATGCATATACACGCACACGCAGATACATGTTCACGTCCACGTGGTATGTTGTACACACACCTTCATGCGCAAGTGCGCGTCAGCCCCCCCCCACACAGACGCATACATAGGGCACATGATGAATGATGACCTGGGATGCGTACGTTCGTAGTGTTTCCATATTATGCATGTGAGCATGTCGGGAGGGTGTTTATGTCAGTGCCCCTTGGGGGCAGCAGCTCACAATGCATCAATGTCAAGCGCTGTCCTCTCCCAGCCTGTCTCTGTCAGCGAATGGCCGCCCTGTTTGCTTCAGTCTTTCATGGCGGACCGAAAACCATGAGGGGGAGGAGGCACAGGAGTGGGGGGACGGAGGCGGAGGAGGAAGAGGAGGAGGAGGAGGAGGAGGATGAAGGGGAGGGGGAGGAGGAGGAGGAGGAGGAGGAGGAGGAGGAGGACTGCGCCCAATCTTGCTTTGTAAACGCCCTCCTGGTCCGTCCCATGTGTTTCCTCCCGACCGACACGCAAAAACGGAGCTTTGGCCGGCATCTTGCGTGCCCCGTCGCCCGCCCGGGCCCCCTCCGTGTGTTGCAGCCGGCGGGTCGCGCGCTGCTCGCAGGCGGGGCTCAACGGACGGGGGCCAGTGGTTTACAGGATGTCCTCCTCTTCCTCCCGTTTCTCCCCTTCCTCCCCTCGTCCCCCTCCACCTCCGCCCGCCGGATCTTGCAGGATCCTGCGCAACCAGAGTCGCACTGCCCTGGGCTTCTGCGCAGGATCCTGCACGGACTGACTGTCCTGGGTTTGAACTGACCCGGGCCAGTAGGTCCCCGACGCAGGCGGCAATGGTAGAAGTTCTCTCCACCAACGTTGTGGGGCCCGCCATTCTGACGAAGTCCTTGTGGCAGCTGTTGAGATCTGGACTGCCCTCTGCTCCTTTGCGCTGCACCCAGGGGGCACGCGTATCCCAGTAGAGTTGTGGAGGATGATCAATGGAGAGGGAGCATGTTGCCAAATAACATCCAGATGTCTAGAAGATGTGTTAGAATTGTTTGAAACATGTAGCAAGCATGTTTAAAATATGTTCAGGACACGTTTCCGACATATTTGATTCGATGATAGGACTGTTAGGGTGACCATTGTCGTGGCGTGGCATCCACAACAGAAGAGCCATCAACGAATTGCACACGTTTCTTCATGTGGATCTGGACCTTGCGAGGGCAGCAAAGTGGGGCAGATCATCCAGCTTGGCTGCTTCCGTGTGTCTGACTTGCCAGGTCCTGACTGCAAAGCGAAAATAACCTTATGTGTATTCCGGTGCTCCTTCTGAGTAGGCGCTGCGCTCAACCAGAGTCGAGGCCAGCAGCAGCCCAGCTGGAATTAAGCTTGAGCGGGATGAGATGAGGATGTCAGCATCAACTGCAGCGGGGATGCTGCCGCAGTCTGGATGGGCGGTATTCATTATGTCGACCCGCAGCCGAAGTTGGAGTCGATGGCGGGCCATTGTGCAGCTCTGTAGACGCGACGTCATTATGTAGCCATGACTTGCTGCGTAATAGTTGTGCAAGTGGGCATGGCGATGAGGAGGTGGAGGAACAACAAGAGACTTGTTGTCCGAGGCATGGCCGATGATCTATGTGGGCCACCTCTGGGCCACCTCTGGGAACTCTGCCATCTTTGGGCCCTCTTGGGCCGTCTCCAACGGCCTCTTGGTCCGTCTTGGGGCTTTCTTGGGGGCTTCTTGGGTCGTTCTGGGTCCATGTCGGAGGCCCCTGGGCCATCGTCGGCCGTCGGAATCCAGAAGAGGCGAGCACGCAGAGACATGTCGAAAGCTTGATATGATCCTTGACTGTGGCTCTTTCGGGCACGCCGTTCCGCTGGACCTCCCAGGAGGTTTCGGAACGTGGCGACAGTTGCTCGGTTGGCGGCCCCCAGGGAGGCGAGGTCTTGTTGGTGTTTGCCTAAGGCGTCGCTCCAGTGTACCTCCGAGGAGCTCTCGACCGAAGCGACAGTTGCGCACTTGTCAGCGCCCAGGGGGGGCAGGTCTCGTTTGGTCGCATACGATGCCGCTCCGCCAGACCTCCCATGAGTTCACGAACGCAGAGAAAGCTGCGCAGGCCCAGTTTGGATCCATACAAGCTCGTGTTCTGATGGACCTCCCAGGAGTTCACGAAGCTAACACCAGTCACGCAGTTGGCAGTTCCCCTGGGCGGCAGGGTCGAGCTTGCATCCATGCAACCCCGTATTCCGCCGAGCCTCCCGGGAGTTCACGAAGGTGGAGACATTAGCGCAGTGAGGAACCCCACAGGGAGGCGAGGCTTAGTTTGATCCTCTGCTCGCCTGCACTCCGCTGGACCTCCCAGGAGCTCACAAAAGCTGACAGGGCAGGGGGAAGGCGAGAAGGAGGTGGCAGGAGGGTGATGAGATGATAAGAGGAAGGAGAAGCAGACAGCAGTGCCCTGCTCAAAGCCAGGCCCCAACACTAAGGCGATCGCAAACAGGGATCAAGGGGGCGTGGATCAGCGACGGGTCCCGTTTCCATGGGAAGTCGCAGATTGCCGCAGCCGAGCGAGGCGGCACCGGCCGCCTTTTGGGGAGGGCACCTCCCCCGATCCATGGATTTGGCGACTGCGCACCAAATCCATGGATCGCTAATACATGTTTGCGCGCTCCCGACATGCCGATCCGCTTCGATGAAGTCGAGTCTGGTTAGCAGGTCGACCCTGCCAAATCAAGGGTGCCCTCGTGTCCTGCGCTTTTGCGGCCCACGCCTTCTCCACTCCCTGTGGCAGTGTGGCCCTCGGGAGGGTCTTGTGCCCTCTCGCGTGTCCTCTCCGGTCGGGCTCTCGACTCGTCGGCTCCGTCCGCCCCGATGCGATCCGGTGCCGCTCTTCGGGCGATCCGCTGCGGTCCGATGCGGGCGCGACGCTGCGGAGTGTCCTGGCGCCGCCGCGTCGACTCGCGTCCGGCGTCCGATGCGATGCACGCTCCTGGCCGATCCGACCTCCCGAGTCGATGCCCACTGCTCCCTGCCCCCGGCGCCGCGCCCGAGGAAAGACGGCGGACGCCCCGGCCAAGGCCTCTCTCTCCGCGCCGCGCGCCGCGCGGACGCGCGGCGGCTGGGCGCCGCCGTCCCCCCCCCGGAAACGGCAGGGCCGTTTTTTCACCGTTCCCAAAAAATATGCCCCTTGAAAGTGGGAACGGCAAACAAACGGCGACCGGAAACGGCAATAAACGGCTCCGGGATTGGAACCGGAGCCAGGACCGGTCAAAAAATGGCGACGGAACCCGTAAAAAACGGCGTCGGAACCGGCAACAAAAACGGCAAAACGGAACCGGTAAAAAAACGACCCTGTGTCGCTTCCAGGGCCCACTGAGCCCCTTCCCTCGCGTCGGGGGCAGTGCCAGCGGGGGTCGGCCATCGAAGGAGGTGCAAAAGCTGCACAGGCGCTTCCTCCGGCGGCGGCCAGGCAGAGTTCTTTGCGCTGGCGAGGGGGCGCAGGTGGGCTGCCCAGAACGCGAGCCGGGCCGCCATGCACGGAGGAGAGAGGGAGGACGCCCGGCGCGGGCAGGAGGGAGGGGGGAGCTGGGCCCGCTCAGAGCGGGGCAGGGCGGCGGCGGGGGGGGGGCGCCATGGGCGGGGGCCAGCAGCAGCGGGCGGGGCCAGCAGGCACACGCCCTTGCCAGTCAGTCCGCGCGGACTGCTTGGATCGGCGCTGGCCCCTCCCCCCCCCCCCTGGCGGCGCCTCGGGTGCCGCCCCTGGCACGCTCCGCTCGCCAGGGCAGGGACGGGGGGGGGTCCAGCGCCAGGGCTGGGGCAGTCCAGCACGATGGGCGCCAAGAGTGTCTGTTTACGCAGCCTTCTCTACCTCCAGACCTGTCCTTCGGCAGCAAGTCATGGGAGCCTTGTGTACCCTCGCAAGTTTGTCTCTAGCGTAGATTAGCGTCTCGGAGTCGATGAGATTGCGCCAATTTAGCGTCGGCTGGGGTCGATGTAGCGTCGATTTAGCGTCGATGTAGCATCGATTAGCGTCGATTCGCAAGAGCCGACAACTTGGTACAGTGGCCCATACCAAGAATCACCCTGCTCGCCTCTGGGGTGCCCTGGGTTTCTTGGGTTCCGATGGTTTTGCGATGGAAAGCGTGACGTTCCCACACCAAACATCCATGGACATCCTGGGGTCTCAGGGTTGGGTTTCTTGTGGAAGGTTTCTTCTTGTGGGCTGGCCTCCACTGTATGCAGGGCTCTCTGCGTACGGACGGGGGCCCGGGAGCCGCGCGGGGCCGATCCCCCGGCGGTGCTCGGCGGCCGCTGTGGTGCTTGGCTGCCCGGACTGCGGCCCTCCCTGAGCTCAGCATCGTTTCACCGATCCCTATCTCTTTCTCCATCCCCGTCCAGATTCCCACCATCCCACCACCCCAGGTTGGGGATATGCCCCTCGAAACTCGAAGGGAACAGCCCATATCCCCATCCAGGGGGATAGATCGGCCAGTGTGGCCCAGGCCACGCCCGTGGGGATAGGGACCGGTTCACCGATGCTCACGTGCCGCCCTCGCACAGGGCGGATGCTTCGGGCACCCCCATGGCCGGGCCGTGCGCGGTGGAGGTCAGCCCTAATTGGTCAGGTGTTGCTAGAATCAGGAGGGGAAGAAACACACAGACACAATTAATCGTCGATTCCCCAGAAAATAGGGGAACATATGGGCAGTGGGGGGGAAGACAGAAACCCAGAACATATGGGAAAACATGGCGAATCCTTTTTATTTGTGTGTGTACTTATTGGTGTGTCCCAGGGCCCCTTCATAGAAGCACCCCTGGCGCGAGGTGCTCCCAGGACTTCCAGGGAGGCCCCCACGGCCTCGAGAGGGCCCCGAGGGCCCCCGGGGGCTTCAGGGTGGAGCGAGAAGCTGGGGGCACCTGGAGCCCTCCTGTATGAAGGGGCCCGGGGACACACAATGAAATACGCACAGATAACAGGGTTCCCTATATTTTCCTATATTTGCTGGGTTCTGTCTTCACCCCCACTTCCTATATTTTCCAATTTTTTTTCCTGGGGGTCGGGGGCACCTCTAGCAACCCCCGAACGGGGGTCGGGCCAAGGTGGCTGCAAGATGGAAAAACGAGTAGGACAACGATCCCGGAGCACGCTGGGAGCAGCTCCGTTGCGAGGCTGTCAGAGCGGCGTCGGGAAGGAGTCCCAGAGTACCTTGTGCTACCAGTTGATTGGCTTGTTTTCCACTTCGTCCATAAGTTGGAGGGGAGGGGGTCCTCGTCGTCCTCCTCGTCCTCCTCCTCCTCGTCCTCTTCCTCCTCCTCCTCCTTCCCCCCTGCAACTTATGGTGGCGGTGGTGGTGGAAATCACGCCCATCACGAGTTCCTAGTTTGAGACTCTCTTAGCTCTCAGAGAGCTGCCGGAAGCAACATGCGATTCCAGCTGGAAGGGGGTCACGGAGGTGCTCCTCCCCCCCTGGGAGCTCACTGCGAGTCCCTCCCCAATGGGACGCGCTGTCGCAAACAGTCGCACTTAGCAGAGATCCGAAGCCAGACCCCCCCCCTTTCCGCCCAATGCCGAGACGCCGAGTAAAAAAAAACGCTCACACTGCTCGGTGCTGCTGGTTCCCCTCGGCTGACGTGCACGAGGAGGATCGACTGGGGAATCGTTCCAGGACGACCGCCCCAGGACGACCCCGCACACACACACACACACACACACACGCACACGCACACACACGCACACACACACACGCACACACACACACACACACGCACGCACGCACGCACGCACACACACACACACACGCACACCACGCGCACACACGCGCACACACACACACACACACACACACACACACACACACACACACACACACACACACGCACACACATACACACACACGCACACACACACACACACACACACGCACACACACACACACACACGGACAGGTCGGCGGACGTGTTCGTCCCTCTCGGGCCTCCCGGGGGCCTTCTCTCGCCACGACTGCGTTCTCGTCATCGTCGTCCTGGTCCTTCCTCCCCTTCGCGCGCGCGAACGCTCCGGGCAAGGGGGGGGGATGATGGGTGAGGAGGAGGAGAGCTGGAGGAGGCACGAGTCAGGACGGGATTCGACGGTCCAGGATCTTGACCGTTTCGTTTGACGCAGGAGGGGTGAGGTCCGACGATCGCAGGTCGAGGATCTCCAGATTTCAGTCGGGCCTGTCCCTCTACAGGAGGAATATTTAAAAATAGTAAAAAAAAAAAGTCTGGGGACGATTTTTGGAATATTTGTAACCATTTTGGAGCATTTTTGGCTACTTTTAGTTTTCCTCCAAAATCCCCCTGTAGGGGGACAGGCCCGACTTAACTCTAGATCCTTCCCTCTGAATGCCGGGGCGCTCCTCGTCGCCCAGGCCCGGAGAGCGCGCGCCTGGAGAGGCGACCATGTGGTCGATTGTTTCCCAGGGGTGTGGGGAGGTGAGACGGGCTTGGTATCGCTCGTACATGTGCACTTTTTTCTCGGCGGGGATTATTAAGGAGCATCCTGGATCATCCTTCGAGAAAAAACAAGCAACCGCAAAAAAACACAGGGAATGGACGTCCGAGCGATGGCCAGAGGACAGAGGCTGGAGGAGGGGAAAGAGGAGAGCAGGGAGGGGGGAGGAGTGCGGGAAAAAGGGCAGGGAGGAAGGGGACACGGGGGCCGAGGATGAGGACTGATGGGGCGCAAAGGGGGGAGAGGACCTCCTTTCCCCCCGGGCCACCACCAACGGGGACGGCCAGGGGAGCAGCCCACCGTGCGGCTTCCAGGGGCGAGGGTGATCAGGCTCCTCCTCCGCCCCGCACTCTCCCCGCACTCTCCTCCGCCCTTCCTCCGCCCTTCCCTCCTCTGCTGCCTCTCCTCCCCTCTCCCTCCTCGCTTCTCCCGTCCTCACTGCTCGGGGCTCCCCCCCCCAAATCCTCCCCCCCTTCATCTCCTGACCCTCCCCCCTGCCGCCTCCCGACGCCCTGCCCCGTGGCACGTGTCCTCCCCTCGCTCCTCGGCGGCACCGCAGTGGGTATGTACTGACGGGTATGAGACCCTAGGTCTCCTACATGGGGTCGGAGTAGATGGGGTCGGAGGGTCGCGCCGCATCGCCGATCAGGCTCGATGTGGAGCCTGCTTTGCTTCACGTCGACGTTGCCGATGCATCGCCGACATCGACGATGCGCCGCCGGTGTATCGCCGATGTATCGCCGATGCATCGGCGATCTGGCGCGATTCTCCGACCCCGTGTGCTCGGACCCACCTAGGAGGCCTTTAGTTTTAGAACACTGCCCAGCTCTGTTGCTTCAGGTTCTCTCTCGGGCACTGCAGCACTGCCCGCGTCGGGGAGGGAAGGGTTTCGCTGTGCCGTGGACGAAAGTACTCATCACGGGGGGGCGCTGGTGCCTCCTGATCCCCCCTCCGCTGCCAGTCATGCGCCCTCTTCTCCCCCCCCCTTTCTCCCCGTCTCTTCCTCCCTCCCTCCCTCCTCCCTCCCTTCTCCCCTTTCTCCCCGTCCCTTCCTCCCTCCTCCTCCCTCCTTTCCCTCCTCCCTCCTCCTCCTCCCCTCCCTTCCTCCTTCTCCTCTCCCTTCCTCCTTCTCTTCCACCTCTCCCTCCTCCCCGTCCATTCCTCCCTCTCTCCTCCCCCCTTCCCCCTTCCCTCCTCCCTCCATCCCCCCTCCATGATTGTGGCTGGAACCTTGTCATCTCGCTTCAGCGCCGTCGACTGCAGAATCCTTCCCGGTCAAGGTCGGCAAGCGAGCAAGCCGCATGTCTTGAGCAGGGCATGCCCGTATCACGTTTTTCGATTAGGGGATCGACGACATAATTGATGTACCCCAAACTTATTATTTCATCGAAAGCACGGAGCATACGTATGATTCTTGTCTACCTACAGGTCATTATACGTTTTTTGTCGTAGATTCGACGGGCATTTCAATCCTGGGGTAAATGAATGCTGTAGTCGATCCCTTACTCGAATTTTGGGCCTTGGGATTCAATCAGGGCCTATGTGCTGTGCTGACGCTCGCGACTCGGCCCTCTTCGGCATCGT